TTGTTGTTGTTGTTGTTGTTGTTGTTGTTGTTGTTGTTGTTGTTGTTGTTGTTGTTGTTGTTGTTGTTGTTGTTGTTGTTGTTGTTTATTTATTTATTTATTTATTTATTTATTTATTTATTTAATTTTAGGGTTTAGGGTTTAGGGTTTAGGGTTTAGGGTTTAGGGTTTATGTGTTGTATAGGTATAGGAGCACAATTTGGTGGTAAATATTTTTGTCATGATGTAAGAGTAATAAGATTACCAAGACATGCAGCATCTCTTCCTATAGGTATTGGTGTATCTTGTTCAGCAGATAGACAAGTACAAGCATATATTAATAAAGATGGAGGTATATATATATATGTATATATGTATTAGGGTTTAGGGTTTAGGGTTTAGGGTTTAGGGTTTATAAAGGGTTTATAAAGGGTTTAGGGATGACGATTTAAGGGTTTGAGTGGTTGACGGGATTAAATTAGGGTTTAATATTTAGATTTTTAATTTTTAATTTTTAGGGTTTAGGGTTTAGGGTTTAGGGTTTAGGGTTTAGGGTTTAGGGTTTATGTATTCAGTATTTATGGAGGAATTAGAGAGAGACCCATCAAAATATTTGCCAGATATAAGAGAAGAAGATTTAGGGTTAGGGGAGGCAATAAGATTGGATATAAATAGACCAATAAAAGAAATAATAAATAATATAAAAGAATTAAGTATAAAGACACGCGTGTCTTTATATGGTTATTTAATTGTTGCTAGGGATATTGCGCATGCAAAATTATTAGATAAATTAAATAAGGAAGGAGATCTACCCGATTATTTTAAGGAACATCCTATCTATTATGCAGGTTAATTCTTTATTTACTCCTGTTGTTGCTGCTGCTGCTGCTGCTGCTGCTGTTGCTGCTGCTGCTGCTGCTGCTGATTCTTGCGGTGGTTCTGGAGGTGGTAGGGTTGTTGTATTGCTGCTGCTGCTGCTGCTGCTGTTGCTGTTGCTGCTGTTGCTGCTGCTGTTTATTAACGTGTATATATTATTATATAATATATTATAAATAACATTAATATATACATATACATTTATGTATACGTATAAATATACACATACATATAAATATACGTATACGTATACGTATACGTAAAAGTATATGTATATGTATATGTATATATGTATATATGTATATATGTATATATGTATATATGTATATATGTATATATGTATATATGTATATATGTATGTATATGTATATATATGTATATATATGTATATGTATATGTATGTATTTGTATGTACATTATACGTATAGGACCTGCAAAGACACCTGAAGGAATGATTAGTGGTTCTTTTGGTCCAACAACAGCAGGAAGGATGGATAGTTATATTCCTTTATTTATGAGTAAAGGTGCATCATTAATAACAATAGCTAAAGGAAATAGATCTAAACAAGTTGCGCATGCATGCAAACAATATGGTGGTGTATATCTTGGGGCTATTGGTGGACCTGCAGCAAGAATTGCTCAACATTGTATTAAGGAAGTACAAATTATTGATTATCCTGAATTAGGAATGGAGGTAAGGGTCTAGGGTCTAGGGTTTAGGGTTTAGGGTTTAGGGTTTAGGGTTTAGGGTTTAGGGTTTAGGGTTTAGGGTTTAAGGTTTAAGGGAGGGGGGGGAGGAAAGGGGAGAAGAGTTGTTTGGGATTCTGGGGGACGGAGGGAGGGACACAAATTTAGGGTTTAGGGTTTAGGGGGGAGGAAGAATGATTAAAGAAATTAATTGAATAATAATATTAGGGTTTAGGGTTTAGGGTTTAGGGTTTAGGGTTTAGGGTTTAGGGTTTGTGTATATTTATAGGCTATATGGAAGATTCGTGTAGAAGATTTTCCTGCATTTGTTATTATTGATGCAAAAGGCAATGATTTTTATAGTACATGGATACCCTAAACCCTAAACCCTAAACCCTAAACCCTAAACCCTAATTTTATTTTGTCTAGGGATGGGGGAGGGGATCTACCCGTATTTTTATGCATAAATAAATAAATTAATAAATAAATAAAATAGATTAATTAATTAATTAATTAATTAA